TTTAGAAAAGAGACGACTAAGTGGGGATATGATACAGGTAAGGATGTTCAATTGTGCTTATCTGGCTAATCATGTAGTCGAGACAATGGTATCAACTACACGCTTAGTTGATAAAGGGCCACTCTGCAGAGCCATAGCGGGAGTAGCTCCCGGAACCAGCTGGAGCTGGGACTGAGCAGTCGAAGCTTGCACCAACTCCGGGAGCCACCCGCACTGTGGCACTGCATTTTAAATGTAGATGGCGGGATGAGGGGGAGAGATGGCATGGCGAAGACAGTACCGGTTCCTGTCCACCTCCACCTTGCTGCCTCTCATACAGAAGCAGCAAGGGCGGGGTGAGGGAACGCAAGTCATCAACTATTCACTAACACCCCTGGATACAGGTCTATAAAATCATGACTGGTGTAGAGAAAATGAATAGGAAGTGTTACTTACCCCTTCCCATAGCATGATAACTATGGATCACCCAATAAAATCAGTGGGCAGGAGGTTTAAAACAAACAAAAGGAAGTGCTTCCTCACACAACTCCCGGTCAATCTGTGCAGGGGATGTTATAAAGAGTATAATTACATTCAAAAGAGAACTAATAGGTTAATGGTGGCTGTTAGCCAAGGTGATCAAGGATCCAACCCATACTCCAGGCGTCCCTTTAAATCTCAAATTGGATGACGAGGGGTGGCCATTCAAAATTGCTGTGTTCTTTTCAGCTTCTTGGAAGCATCTGTTAGTGGCCACTTCAAGAGATTGGATACTGGGTTGCTGGTCTGGGCTCAGTATGGCCATTTTGATCTCAGTGGTGTAGATCAGAATTCACCCTAGGGATGTGAACGATTAGTTGACTGTCCGATAAGCAAATGCTTATCGGATAGTCCACATACTAGTTGCTCCCCCTCCTCCACCTGCTTTCTCTATAAGAAAGAGGCAAGGGAGCTGAGGAGAGGGCACTTTGTGTAATTCACTCATCGAATAGTTGATGGATTTTTGCATCAACTACTTGATTTGTCGATAGGGCAGTACTGCCCCTTTGAATCGCTACCGAGGCAATTCAAAGGGGCAGCGTGCACAGAGCCTGGGTTCAGCTTGGGACTCCCCAGGCTCCGCACAGCGCTGCCGCTTTGAAATGCCATGGCGGTGTTTCAAAGGGGCAGAGCTGCACAGCTGATTTCGGGTTCTGCGCAGTGCTGCTGCTTTGAAGTACTCCCCACTACCCACCTTACTGCCTCTATCTGAGCAAAGAGGGGAGGGAGGAAAAGCAACTCATTGACTATCCTGTTGACTATCCAATAAGCATTTGTTTATCGGATAGTTAGTCCTTAACATCCCTACTTCAAAGTGGCAATGCCAGACCTTGAGCTTTATGCGGCACTGCTGCTTTGAAATGCTGCATTTGATACACCGGGCTCCCCACAGCATTTCCAAGTGGCAGTGCTGAGCCCACAGGCTCCCCAGCTGATCCCAGGCTCCATGTGGCACTTCTGCTTTGAAATGCCGCAGGATGCATGGGGCCACTAGAGAGACTGCTTGAGCACTGGTCCCGTGCTCCCCACAGCGCTTTCGCCTTCGAAGTGTAGCAACAGCCCTGGGACTGTTGCTACATTTCAAAGGTGGAGGTGCCCTTATTGATTGTTCGACTAGCCCATTAATCTAAATTTAACATCCCTAATTCACACTCACCCCTATTGAGGCTTTCTAAAGCGCTGTGTAAATAAGGCCTTCAGATTCACCACTGATCAGCTGTCTCTTGGGGGAGAGTAACCTTTGCAGGTGCTATCTCCCAACAAGCTGGTCAGCAAGTGATCTCTTATATCCACACACAGAACATCATTTGGTCTCAGCTCCTGAACAGCTGCTGTAAACCTGCCCTTGTTAACTGGGAGTCATACGCTTTCTTGGCACCTTCTGGGGGATGTTTAAAATCCCCTTGTGTGTTTCCTTCTCCTCTGCATGTGAGTCTTCTCCTAGTTGGATGGAGGTGGGGATCCAGTTCCTTGCTCTGGGCCTTATTTTGTGTAGCCATTTGCACACCCCTCTCATGCTTCCTAGCCTGGCATGAAGACCCCATGATATCTGAGGGTTAGAGGGACTGAGTGAGCTGGGCAAGGGAGAAGAGTAAAGACTTGTGGTTTATATTTGGAAATGAGGTGGAGAGTGTGGAGGACAGATCCGAACTGCTGTTGGGGCATGTGGGGAAGATCGGGGCCCAGGATGGAGAGGAAGTGCTAGATGAAAGAAAAGAGGGTGGAAAAAGAGATAAAATATTAATGAGTTAGGTTGGAACATATTTCTAGAGGCTTTAGAAATGTACAGATTGTGTAACTGTGTCAGGTTTTTGTGTATACTGAATGGAAACCACATGCAAATACACCCCAGCCATTTTGCTGTCTGGATCACACCAGGTTGCTCTGTTTCAGCAGCTGACTTTTCCGCATCCCAATTGCTTTTTATACTGCCACAAGGTGTGTGTCAACACTTTTAGCAGCATGCTGAAAACAATTGCTGCAAACAATATTTAAAAACTAATGGCCATTTTCAGACTGGCCACGTATGGTAAATGTGTGATGCTTATGCAGTTTTAAACAACTGAAACCTTTTCACTTTTCTGGGGATGTAGAACAAGAGTAGATTTAATCAGTTCCTAACAGTTCTTTATCATCAACAACCAGGAGTAATTGCCTTCAGCCTATTACCTGACAAGTTCAACACAAAGAACAGATCAGCGTCTCTTAGCCAACAAAATAAGCCACAGTGATCATTCTGTGCTACAACTAATGCTGCTGCTGCCTAATTAAAGGATCTAGGTGGGTGCCAGCAGACAGAGTTCCACCCTACAAACCTCTCAGCCCATCAAACCCTAAATGGCTTTCTCCTTGGCAGCCTCAGAGGCTGGGAATTAGCACCACCCTAGAGATGTAACTGCCTTATGCCATCACCACTCCAGGTTGAGTAAGGTGATGAATGGGCTTGTGGGAACTTACCCAGTACCTAATCTATGGGCAAAAAGGGAATTTCATTCTTGTGGGCTGCCAAACCAGCACATTTCAGCATCTTAAAACTCTCATGAAGGAAAGCTTGCCAACACAAGTGATCATAGATAATTTTTAAATAGTGTGGAGCAAGCCAGAGTTTTTACCCTTTAAGGAATGGCCACCTCTAGGCTGCAAGGTGACCTCTGTGTCTACAGCACTACACATTCATCTAGGCATACTAGGTGTCTTACCAGTTTAATTTGCAGCCTCATTTGTTATTTCCTGTTGCCTCAGCTGCCTTGGAGTAGGGATGTTAAATATCGGTTAATTGAATAGTTGAATAATGTCATGAATTTTTATCAGTTACTTGACTGTTCTATAGTCCCTGGGGGTGCGGCCAGCAGCCAGTGCACTCCGGCCACACTCCTAAGGAGCCCCCTGTCACTCTGCACTGCTACCTCTGTATCAGAGGCAGCAGCACAGAGTGCCAGGTGAGAGCTGGTCTGCGAGGGAGCCGGTTTAAAAACCAGCTCCCCTTACGGACTGGCTGCCTATTGCCCTCTGCTGCTACCTCTGATACAGAGGCAGCTGCACGGGGTGGCAGCAGCCCCTGTCTAGGGAAGGGTGGGGGCTGAGCTCCTGGACCCGGTACTGAACCTGGCTGCCTGCCTGCCCTCTTGGCTCCTAATACACTTTAAATGCAGAGTCGCTGCGAGGATAGGTCCCGGACCTGGTGCGAGCCAGGACTGAGCCAGGCTGCTGATGAGCCTGCTAAAAAATTTACTGGTGGGCGGGGGGGCTGCATGTAGTCTATAGCATTAACCTATAAGCTTTTGCTTGTCAGGTAATCGACTACACTATTACATCCCTACCTTGCAGTCTTGTTTGAAGCTAACTCTGCACTGGCACTTTGGAGCAGTGTAAATGTATGGCGAGCGCAAAAAGTTACAGTGTTGTGAAATGCCATTGTGAACCAGACTACTCCCCTCGGAGATGGTTTACATAGAGTACTGGGAGACCTCTCTTCCAGCACTCATGCTGTGGCCACACTTTCAGTTTAAAGAGCTGTCATGGCTCCCCTTTAAACTTTTAAGTGTAGCCAAAGCCTGAGTCAGTTTGATTAGTATAACAACATCTAGTGAAATATTTGACTGGGCTGGCTACCAGTTGCAGTTTAAAGGCAATACACTTTGGAATATTGACATAGATGCTACTGACAGTGTCTTAGTTTGGGCCTGTATCTCTTGTTTTATTAGTGCCTTTCACAAGCCTAGGAGAAACAAGGTACAGAATCACTAACTATGGGGTGCCAAGCACCTCGAAAGCACTGAGCACCCATGTCTCGCACTAAAGTCAGGAGGAATTGAGGTTTCACAGCACCTTGTGATTGGCCCCTAAATGTGTATAGAGCTCACTTTCACCATTGCTTGCTTGTGGGAATAACTTTGGTCTGGGTGATTGGGCAGAGGCAGAAAACATCTGGGCTTATATTTTTGGGATGTGTGACAGGTGGGCTCGTTAGCCATGTTTGATAACTTATCATTCCTGCGTTGGCTGAGGGACAGAACTATGGTGTCTGGACAAAGTGTGAATGTTTCAGTAGAAATGTGCTCTGCAGAGCCCCCAGGGAAGATGCCCCAAATAAAGCCCTGATAGATGAAGGACGATTCTCCGCAGGTTAAATGACTTTGTTCAGAAAAGCCCAAGTCAGCTCTGAATGAGCTGAGATGCTCTTGATGCTCCATCATGAAACAAGTTGATTTGGAGGTTTTGACAGTCTGTCTTCTCTTCTCAGACTACTGCATGAATCCACAGACTGTTTTGTTGCTCCGAGTCATTGCTGCTTTCTGCTTCCTTGGAATAATCTGCAGTCTTTCAGCTTTCCTGCTGGATGTTTTTGGACCCAAGCACCCTGCACTGAAGATCACTCGACGTTATGCCTTTGCTCACATTCTCACAGGTAACTACCAGGGCATTTGCACCTTGCTGAGCCTGGTTATGGCAGGTGGCATATGAGTTGGTATCTTACTGTGGGCACTTTTATGCCCTCAGCCAACTATACCTCAGAGCATAGCAAATAGAACATAGCATTGCTATCCAAAGATGTTTTCTCTGCTTTCCTCAGATACTTGGAACATTGTCCACTGCAGAGCTCATGTGCCTTTATCTTCCCCTCTTCTGTCAGCACAGAGCATTGCTGGAGTTCTGCCTTTGGCTGCAGGACTCGGCTCAGCTTGAGAAGTGAGAGTTATAGCTGAGAGAAATGAAGACCTGGGACAAACTTTATTTTTAGTCTGTAAATGGGGATGAGCTGGAGTGTTTCATTTTTGGCATGAGTTTTTAGTACAGACAGACTGAACAGAGAACATAGGCTCCTCTTCCCCCCAAGGCAGAGGAGGAATTGACATTGATTTCAGTAGTAGGGGGTTGTGACACACAGCAGGTGGGGTGTACACAGGTGCCCACTTTGCTCTTGGGAGGGGTGTACACAGGTGCCCACTTTGCTCTTGGGACTCTGCTTGCTTTCTTTTTCCAGCTCACACTGACCAGGCTTGTTACAAATCAGTCCTGGACATATGCCAAAGGCATAGTGCAAAGGTGTGTAACTCACATAAACCTGTCTGCTGGCCCTACATGTCCCCTCTTCCATTTCTGAGTGACGAATTTAGGAATTTAACACTCTAGTCCTGACTCCTGGGCATGTTCAGCTTTTCCCTAAAGCCCACATTGCCCATGATTTCTTCCAGCCTACTTTGGCTTTTATCACATGTCCATTTCCCCCTTCTAATTGACAAACACTTCCACCGGTTGCTCACATATGCTGTGCAAGTTATAGAAATGGTGCCTGTGTGCATTACTGTGCAGAGACATAGGGCTGGCCCTGAAAATCTGGCATTTCTGTTTACGATGGTCCCCCGTGGGGTTTCAGGGAGGTTTATCTTTTTCCTTTTTACCTAACAGAGAATAATTTGCTTCCTCTTTGGTCACTGACTCCCCCTCCCCTCTCTCTCTCTCATATTATCCATGGTGTTTCAGTTTTGCAATGTGCCACAGTGATTGGATTCTGTTACTGGGCTTCAGAGCTGATTCTTGCACAACAGCAACAGCACAAAAAGTACCATGGATCTCAGGTCTACGTCACCTTTGCTGTCAGCTTTTACCTGGTTGCTGGAGCTGGCGGAGCCTCCATCCTCGCTACTGCTGCCAACCTGCTGCGACACTATCCAACCGAGGAGGAAGAGCAGGCACTGGAGCTCCTGTCTGAGATGGAGGAGAATGAATCTTACCCAGCAGAGTATGAAGTGATCAACCAGTTCCAGCCGCCTCCTGCGTACACACCATAACGCTGCCAGTGAGCCAGAGGGGGTTGCATTAGGCTTTCTCCCCACCCCTGAAACACTGCCCACCTCTTTGTGGGAATGCACTCCTTTGCCCATGGAGGCCATTCAACAGTGCTTCATGTCCGGGCACCTTACTCACTTTTATGCTCTTCTCCCCACAAGAGCGAGGACTAACTTTAGACCAGTGGCGGCTTCTTACAGAGCCCCCAAAGCCCCCTTGTTTTATGGACTTTGTTTTATGATTTTTTATTATCTCCCACTCCCATGCATTGTACCTACCTTGCATTGCTGAAATCACACCTGACCAGGGTGATTTTAGAAGCTTTGTTTCCTGTGTATTCTCAGTCTTGTACTGTAGTGCCCCGATGCTCCCACTCACCAGCATGGTGCACAAGTGCACAGCTGTGCAGGGGGAAGTCATACTTGTGTGTGATGTGCCTGTGCATATCTTGGGAGAAAGGGCGGTTGGAGGCAGGGGGTTCCACAGTCTCACATTGTGATAGTCAAGATCTCATTCATGTTGGCTTGTACCTCAACATGGAGGTGAAAGTCACACAGCTATAAATGCCTGCATTAGAGGTGAATTCTACACTCTTCTGCTGTTATCTGAGCAAGGTCAGCCAAGCATCTGGAGAGGTGTAACTTATTGATTGGCATACCCAGAGAGAGATGTTCTCTCCCCTCCTCTCCTTCCTCTCCTCCACTCCCCCCCGCCAGAGTACCATGGCACGTAGATACAAGTGAAATTCCTGCCACTATGAACTAGTGCAGTGTTTCCCAATTGGTTCTCCGCGGAACCCAGGGGTTTCGCGAGCAAAAGCAAGGGTTCCATGAGGAGCCAACACTCCCCCGCCACCTTTCAATGCGATAGAGCCTTTATGTTTTGCAGCAGGACTCGTAGCGATTTTTTTTGGTTTTGCTTGACGAAACGCAGCGGCAGGGCTGTTTTGGTTTTTTGGGGGTTTTTTCCTTGATGAAATGCAGTGGGGGCCCTTTTTTTTTTAAGGCAACCGTAGGGGTTCTGTGGCCAAATAAAATTGGGAAACACTGGCCTAGTGTGTAGAGAAATTCCTTTATATCCATAGTATACTATGGGAAAGGTCTAGCAAATCTGCTACCACTGCTTTATCCACTTCCACATTCTGATTCATGCTATTTACACGAGCATTTTGCACTTTATTCTCTGAGCCCACAGCCTTTTGCCTCTGACTTTGGCGGGGGGGGGGGACTGTGGAACTAGCTAGGACCAGCTGCTGTATACTGCTACCACTAAGCAGCCCTCAAATAAGTTTGAAAATATTAGGCCAGAGCTGGTTGAAAAGCTGTGCTAATTTCAACTGTGGTATAGAGGGAGCTTGGTCCTGCCATGAGGGCAGGAGACTAGACTTGATGATCTCAATACCTGTTCAGGTCCAGCTCCCAGGGATACCACAGTCCATACCAGCAAGAGGATCTATGATGGCTTTTAGTCTGTTTGGTGTTAAAGTGAACATAATATTCAGTGACAACTACTGGAAACCTATTCCGTAGTCTCCACTTAGATACACAGTGTCAGACGTAGAGATTGTATGCAAACTCTGTCTCCACGCTGACCTACTCTGGTTTTAAGACATTTTAGATATTTGGATATTTTCCTTTCCTTTTTGTCCTTTACACCCTTACCTTTACAAGGACCATTCTCCCAGCTGACGGTGTCAGGCTGTGACCAATCAGCGCACTCTATCTAGCAGTCCCAGGAAGTGTTATAGAACCACACACAGACAGCACTTGACTGGCTCCCTTCTCCTTACATGTACTAATACCAGGCCTACTGAGAGAGAGCCAGAAACACTCATCCACGTACTTGCACTGTGCCAGCCACAATCATCATGATTGTAGGGACAGCATATTACACTGAAAGACACTGAAGGAGAAACTCAATTTACCATTGCTTCATGGAGGGAATTGTTTTTAAAGGTTTTAGAAAGCAGCCTGCATGTCACTGAAATGCTGAGTTGAATTCTGTGTGGGGTTTGATCATGTTCTTCAAATAAAATGAGGCTTGGGAAGGAAGTGTTATGTCTCCAAGTGCTGGCTTGAAACTGATGATGCAGTGGTTTGTCTGAGTCACTTTAGGACAGGTCTACTGCAGCTTGTAACTTAAATGCAGTTTCTAGTGGACACCCCTCCCCCCGCCTCTTTGAATGTATATCAGATATTGATGTGTTACCAGCAATTTTGTTTAGCTTGTTTCTTTCCCTCCCATATTTGCAGCAGTGTTGGTAACACAGAAGAGGAGATCTCCAGTGTAATGCAATATCCAGACCTCAGATACAAACCTGGAGTCTTATCCTAGGAGAATGTAAGATTCTTCCTCTCTGCCCCTCAGTCCCCTACTTAGGGGGAAGCAGCAGAAGATTGTAGATTGATTCTGTAGAGTTGCCAAGGAATCTTCTCTACTAAAAGTGTTGGAACAGAAAGACAAGGTGTCTGATAAAGGCCTTTTAGAGCTTAGAAGGAACTCAGGTGGCAAAGAGGCTGCCAGTGGTAATAGTAAAGGGGTCCTCTCCAGCAAACAACCAAATGTCTCTGCTTTGCTCTTCTCTTCTGCTTCAGAGGAATGCCCAGCTTAATGCCAGCTGTTATACATGGAGCCAGAAAGTGTATTGGTGAGGGCCCTAGAAGACTGTGGGACTGGCTGATATGTCCTGCTCTGACATTGAACCACAGTCCACATATGTAGTGAACTCCATAGGGAGCTGTCTGGTGTGGGTGGAAAATGTTCTGGGTTTCTCCCTACTGCTGAGAGAGGGAATGTGTTTGTTTAAAAATATCCTATGCATAATAAATTGTATATCTGTAAAAATACTTTAATCATCCTAATAACTGATCCTTGGGGCTTGAGGAAATCTACATGAAATTGGGGGGCAGAGGGAGGGAGTTATTCCAGCTACTCCATGCAGCTTTCTCTTCTTCCTCAAGCCCTGGGGAGGGAAAGCAGAACAGGAAACACATCCAAGTGTCAAAGGGACTTTGAACCAATTCAGGAAAGGAGACCACCCTCAGCTCATCTGTTTTTCCTCTCCTACTGGGACTTTACAACTGGTTTACAGGTGATCCATGCATTCACTTAGTATGACTTTTCACACCATCAATGTCATTCACAATGCACTGGTGGCTTATGTAAATTCAGCTCTACATTCTGATTTTTTTCTAGAGAAAATAAAAAGTCTGTGTCTGGTGTCCCCTGGATGTCTACACTCTTTATTTCACACAAATTATCACAGTTCTGAGGAACAAGAGAAAAAAAGACTCACTCTAATGGTAGTTGTCACCATTTTTAAGATAGTAATAGAAATGTAGCCGTGTTACTCTGGTGTAGCTGAAGCAAAATGCAGGACAATGTAGCACTTTAAAGACTAACAAGATGGTTTATTAGATGATGAGCTTTCGTGGGCCAGACCCACTTCCTCAGATCAAATAGTGGAAGAAAATAGTCACAACCATATATACCAAAGGATACAATTAAAAAAATGACACACATGAAAAGGGAAGGACAAATCACATTTCACATTTGTCCTTTTCATATGTGTTCATTTTTTTAATTGTATCCTTTGGTATATATGGTTGTGACTATTTTCTTCCACTATTTGATCTGAGGAAGTGGGTCTGGCCCACGAAAGCTCATCATCTAATAAACCATCTTGTTAGTATTTAAAGTGCTACATTGTCCTGCATTTTGCTTCAACTACCCCAGACTAACACGGCTACATCTCTATCACTAATATAACACACTGACTCATATCATGTGATGGGAGTATTAATCTTTTCTAACCATCATTGTTAAGGTTCTGGAACTAGAAACAAACTTAATTATCTCATTAGCACACGTGAGGCATTGTAACTTTATTACAAATTCAAATCTAGTAAAACAAATCTAGTAATTTTGTATTTTTATTTTAAAATCATGTTAAATGCGAGAAGTGATCTTTTTAAGCTAGGTGAGTGTCTAGTTATTTAGGTGTCCTCTGCATGTCTTGCAATGTGAATTACTAATGTAAATGATAGCAGTTTAAGTGCAGGGTGTAAAAAGGGTAAAAGAACAATGTCCCTAGATATGTCTGAAATGTGATTCTCAATATGCCTATTATACAGTACATTGTGTTAATTACAAATCAGTATGTAATCTGGAGTAGTAGGACTAGCTAACTGGGGAAGATCTGATCTCGATCTGAATTCTGTAGACCAGTTCCATCTCTAGAGATACAGACATATGAAACACTGAAGGCATTAGAACTGGCCAACTCCTGTTGTTCTTATTCAACTAAGTAGTCCTACTCAAGTCACTTTGTGGTCTTTGTACCTCTTCTTAAGCACAGAACAATAACTAAAAAGTTAATTTTGCAAAAAGATTAATGGTATGGTTTTTGTATTACCTCAGAACCCAGCAGCATTAAGTCTTATTTGGGGAAATAAAAAATTAGATATACATTTTGACATGACATTAGAAATGGGTAGACCTCAGGATACATATACCTCACCAAGAAGGCTTAAAGCCATCAAACTCATACTAAATCCCTTGACTGAAGTTACCCATGTGCTTACAAATTTGCAGGTTGAGATCCTTAGTCAATAAACACACAAGGGTTTAATCTCTCTCAAGTTTCAACAGGTTTCAAAGTTGGGTTGCTTGATCAAAATCCAAGTTATCCTGAAGGAAGCTGGAAATGTGGAAGCTCGGTCCTGACTTGAACTAAGCTTTTACTACTCACAACACAGACTTGCTCTTTCTTCATCCTTTTCCCATTGATTTTGCATTCATTGAACACTTGTAACTCATTATGAAGTCAGTGCGACTTTAAGGTTACCTAACCAATCCACTACTGGACTCAGACTAAATTTTTGTAAAATAAATACATTGTTTAAATATTATTTTACTCTTTGGATATGTTCAATAGAAAGCCTACTAAACAAAGCTTCTATAAGAATGCACTCTGGGGAAAAGAGAGATTTAGTTATTTTTAATGCTGATAATTATTTTCCAAAAGAAGATTCTTTCCTCTGCTTCAACATTTACATTATGTTCTAAGATAGACACTGACGTGGGAAAAACAGCTACAAAAATCCAGGACTGGAAAAAAGAACTACCAAATGTAAAGGTCCTGTAAAATTCAGTAGCTCTAGATTTTTCTGTACTGGTTCACATGACCCTCGTTTTATTTTTAGAAAGGCAGTAATTCCCATTTGGATACAGTGCAATACCTTGTGCCCGAATGCTGTTTTGCACAAATAAACTAAAGAAAGTGTTGACTTAAAAATAAAACAGTGGAAGAGGAGAATTTTTTTTTCTCTGTGAAAATTTCCGGAAAAGCTGTAAACAAAGGCAGGGTTGGCTCAGTGGTTGAGTAACTCTGTTGAGCTGTTGAGGATGGAGAACATATCAAACCTCACAAAGTGAGGAAATGTTTGTAAAACAGTTAGTAAAT